TTCTTCCATGTGGGCTTTGTTGCTTCTGAGCTAGATGGCCGCTTGTTTACATTCAAGCTTTTAAGACCCGGACGCTGTATCTTTGATAGCCGGGCCCCATCAGCTCTCTATTATACAGCCCTACTAGCAGTGTTTGAGCGTTTCAGTCTCTCTATACCCTTGCCAGATTTTATTTTATTTTATCTTTTTCAACTTTGCTATTAATACTGTTGGTAGAGGATATCTCGTTGTTTTTAATGCTTTTCTCTATATGAAATCCAGGGCAGGCAAATCTATAGAGTCCATACCTGGATGAATGGTTCTTATTGCTGCTTTGGTTTACATTTCTCTAATGGATAATGACCTTGAGACTTTCTTCGTATTTGTTGACTGTCTGAATGTCTTCTCTGGTTAAGTCCTCTGCCCACTCTTTAATGGTATCATTTACATTTTGCTTGCTGAGGTACTGACATTTTCCATACATTTCAGAAACAAGTCCCTTATCTGATATATCATTGCTAAAACATTTTCCCTCCAGTCTGTAGGCTTTCTTTTTACTCTTGATGAAATAATCTGATGCATGTAAGTGTCTAGTTTTTAGGAGGCCCAGCCATCCAGTTTTCTTCCGAGATTTGTGTGTTTCCAATTGTTCTTTGTAGTGTGTTTATGCCATGGATAAGGGATTCTAATTTTTCATGGCTGGTCTTTCTGTTTATAGTTTTACGCTTTACATTTAGGACTTTGATCCGTGGTGAGTTCATTTTTATATATGGTATGAGATATGGATCCTTTTCTCATTATTATTTGTAAATAGATATCCCCATGTTCTTACACCATTTGTTACAAAGGCCATCTCTTCCCTATTTAATGAGTTTTGACCCTTTGCCAAAAGTAGCTGCCAATGGGTGGATAGATTTACTTTTGTATTTTCCATTCTGTTTCATTTGGCTGTCTTTGAACTAGTACCAGGCTATTTTGGCTCCCATGGTTGTAAGTTTTGAGCTTAGGAAGTGTGACCACATTCATTTAAAAAGATTGGAACAAATGCATAGAAATGAAAGTTTCTTAGTGGTTACCAGGGGCTGGAGGGATTGAGGAAGGGGATTTTTGCTTTATATTGATTAAGGGTAGGGTTGCACTGCCAATTGATGCAGTTGCTGTCAATAAGTGGCATACCTGTAAAGAACTGGCAAAAAAATCCTGTGTGGTATATTTACAACAGTAATAAACAACTGAAAAGAGCCACTGCAGAGGCTGCTTGTGTGCCATCAAACACCTTAGGGGATTTGATTCCTTGGTCTGGAGGTGTGGGGTCAGGGTTTCATGCTACATAGCACTTAATGGAGTTTATTGGCCTAATGTGTTTAGTGCCTTTGTTTACCTCCTACTTCATTGTTTAGTGCTTGCTTTAGGGGACCAGCCTCCACAACCAATGGGTCCAGGGGTGGTTATGTAATTGAAGGGTAAATTATAAGAGCATCAGACAAGGAATGCAAAGGCTCACCTCTTCCATGGAGCTGGAATCAGAGAGAGGGTGAATGTCTTATCTCACAAGCTTATATAACCTTAGGCATCTAAGACACATCCTACACATATGTAATTGGAAGGGGCTGAGCTAGGGGTATACGTGCAACAGGAAGGGGACATGCCAAGGGCATACGCCTGACAGAAAGGTACATATGTAACAAGATGGGCGGTTCCAGAGTTAAGATGGTGGTCTAACCTTGGCCGTCCCAGAGCTGACTTGATCTTAGGTGTCCCTCAGCGCTTCTCCAGGGGAGCACTGGATGATTCTTATCAGAAGGGAGTGGGTCTTACTTAGGGTGGGGTGGTCTGATTACTCTTGATGGCAGACCACTTTCAGGCAAATAGCCTTCAAACAGCTAACCTCAAGAGTATAGCAGCAACCACGTGCTTGCAAGCAGTACCTTAAAATTATTATGGGGGGACATTGTAGGGAACAACTTTAGTTGGGAGAATGTGACTGGGATTCAACCCCAACCCACAAAGGCTTCCCTCTACCAGAAGAGGGACCCATAAGTAAGACCCATCTCCTGTAGAGGGTTTGTCTGCATACACTCTCTTCTGGTTCTCAGTTTCCCACAGCACAGCTTGGAGTCTTAAAGGTTTGCATGCAGCCCCCCCCCCTCACCCCCACCCCAAGGTACAGCAGGATACAGAATGTGTGGCTAACTCCCTCCATGGACAACTACTTTCTTCAGTGTGAGACCAAAAGAACTGGATGGTGCCCACCCAGCTACTGAACATTTTAATAAAGTATTCCACACGAGAATCCCTATCAAAAGGGAGGAAATGTAGAACAGAATTTCAAATGGTCATGGACCTTAGCCCTTCTGGAGCCATGGAAACTGGATGAAACTATTGCCCTGGAATGATATTTACACAGACCACAAATACCCTCTGAATCTTCTTAAAACCAGCCAGTCGTTGAGGGTCACTGGCAACCCCATTAGGAGGGACTGGCGCTTTCCAACCTGTGGCGAGAAGCCCGAGGCACCACCCCTGCACCACCGTGAGTGGGACTGACTGGATGGTGGCGAGTGCGTGAAGTATCTGCTCTGAGCATGTGTCCTTACACGCTCCATGGATATGGGATCAAATTGAGAACCACAACTTGAAAGATTAGAGAGTAAATTTAGGGGAGAGTGAGTTTGTATTACTGGGGAGGAAACAACTCTGAAAAGAAGGGGTGAGAATGCTGCACAAAGTCACCAAATTATTGACGGGGAGAAATTGTCGGATTAGTGTGTGATCAACTTAACAAAACAACTGTAAAAGAAACTACTTACAAAGAAAAGCGTTCATAACTTCAGTCAGCCAATGGGGGAAATCAGGTTGGACTGCCTGTAGGAGACACTATAGTTTACTCCTCTGGGGCTTTAGAGAAAGAGAGGGAGGCATGATGCAATCAGTTATGCATAGTTATTGATTGGATTGATCATGACTATGCACTGATACTTCAATCATGCATGTGCATTGCTATCAGAGACCCTGAACATAGACACAATTAGGCTTCCTGGATGCAGGCGAGCATTCATGCCTGGGAGAAGGTGGTCCGTCCCTGAAGATCATGGCAGCCTGTGATAGGACCTCTCTCCGACCTCCCAGACCTTGCCTGGGACCTCTCTTCATAAACGGGCAGCTGTAAGTATTTGTATAGACAATCTCTGTGAATTTTGTGACGAGAATGAAGCCATAAGAGGCAATGAGACCTGATTTGGCTTGGATGAGAAAGGCAGCAGAGGACGTGTCCTGACCTGTGGCAGCCCATTCCCACGTGATCAGGAGAGTGGCTGCTCAGGTTCCATTTGGAAGGGCTTACAAAGAGAGTAGGGAGTGCGGAGGGTGTGACGGCATCAAACTCAGGCCACTTGTCAATGGAAGAGAGCATGGGATCTTGAAGTCACACATATTCGTAGGTGGGGCCCAAAGGCCCAGAGAGATGAGCGGTGCCAGGCAGGAGTCAGTTGACAGAACAGGAGTAAGAGAACACAGGAAAGAAAGGTTACTTCTTCAGCTGGAGGGAAGAAGAACAAAGCATTAGCCAGAAACAAAAATGTCATTTAGAAACATTTATTGAAGGACTATTACCATACACCAAGTACTACTCTAGGAATATGTGGGGGGTTGGGGAGTGGGGGGTGGAGACAAATGGAGGCTCTTGTCTTCAGGGAGCCCATCATCTAGTAGCAGGAGACAGGGTGCCAACAATCACTTGTCTAGGTGCTGGAGTAGAGTTCTGGGCTGGGGATAAGAATGTAATGAATTGTAATAGTCAGGATATGTCAAGGTCTTTGGGATACATGGGGTCTGAACGTTAGGATAGAATCTTGAGACATTGTAATAAAGAATGGGAAGAGATGCCAGGGTAAAAGAATGTGGTTGTTGGGTGCCACTGAGTCTCAGTGGCTCACAGTGCCCTTGTAGGACAAAGTGACTGCCCCAGGAGGTTTCCTAAGCTGTCATCTTTATGGGAGCAGATTGCCAGTTCTTTTCTCCTGTGGAGCCACTGGTGGCTTTGAACCACCATTTTGGTCCATAGCGAAGTATTTAACCATAAAAGATTTCAAAAACAAAACAAATAAACAGACAAAAAACCCCACCTCACTGCCATCAAGTTGATTCAAACTCATCGCAACCTTATAGGACTGCCCCTTTGGGTTTCAGAGACTTTAAATCTTTATGGGTGTAAACAGCCTCATCCTTCTCCCCCAGACCTGCTGGTGGGTTCGAACCACTGACCTATGGTTAGTAGCTCAGTCCATAGCACACTGTGCCACTAGGGTCCCAATATCCATAGATGATTAGGGAGGAATTATAATAGTAGTATAGAGGGAAGGACTTACAGGTCCTAGACAAGGAGCCCTGGTGGCACAGTGGGTCATGCACTGGGCTGCTAACCACAGCTTGGCTGTCAACCCCACCAGCTGCCCCTCAGGAGAAGGATGACGTCTGCATCCTTTAAGATGTACAGTCTCAGGACTGTAAGTCAGAATCGACTCAGCAGCAGTGCAGGTCCGGGTGCAGTGCTAAGTGCTTTACTTAGATTATTTTCTGACCTTTTTTTTGAACCACTCTAAGAGTTTTATTATCGTTGAGAAAACTAAGACTCAAAGGCATTAAGTCATCTGTTCACCTTCCCACAGCAAATGAGAGAGAGAACTTGCTTAGCCACGTAACCATTATTATATTCAGAGGCTGACGGGTGGTGGTGGTGGGGGAAAGCAGCTGGGGGGAGGAGGGGGTGCGGGGAGCAGTCTGGAGAGCCAGTGTTATAGAAGCTAGGATAAGAGAGAACTTAAAAGAGAAACGAGTAGTCAACCATGAGAGAGATCAAGTAAACTGAGGATTAACAAGGTCTTGTTCATTCTTGAAATTAGGTTTAGGTGAAATTGCCTGACTAATTTCATTAGCAAAATGGTGATTGGTGAACACATTGAAGTGGTCTGATGGGTAGCTGGGAAGTGGGGAAAGAAGCTTCCTTTCAAGGAGCTTGGTATTAAAAAGAGTGGAAAAGGAGGCAAACGTGAGAGGAGCTTAGTCAAATGGGCCTTGCTGAGGAGAGGGCTCTGGGTTTGTGTGTCAGCAGCAGTACAGTAAGCTCAGTGTTGTGAGGCCCAGCTATGAGGGTAGACGGAGAAGGACGGAGGCGAGGTCTGAGGTGTTTGTGTTTGGGGTGGAGTGGGGTGGGGGGTGGTTCACAGAGAGGTCTGGAAGGTTTGGTCCAGGCACCAGGGATAAGGGCTCCCCTCAGGGCTGCTGCCAACAGCTTAGTGGCAAGTAGGAATGGTTGGCGATGTGGGTGGTGCAGCAGGACCCCGAATCAGCCATGGGTGGGGGTACTGACAAGGGCATGGTCCCCAGGCAAGAAGGCTGCAGCCCTCGGTAGTCCATCTGGGCCTGGGAGGAACATAGGGGCAAGGAAGTCCTTTCGGAAGACTTTGGTAGAATTTCAAGGAGGCTGGGTTCCACTTCTTCATAGGCTTCTGAGACTTGAGCCTTGGGCTGGGAGACATGGGAGGAAGAAGGGTTGTATTAGAGGAGACCCTGTGGAGAGAGGGCGGGAAGGGCATAGGAAGGAGGGTTGGGCTTGGGGGTGGTACCCTGGGGGCCTTGGAAAAGGCGTGTCATTGGGGCAAGGGCAGGCTGGTGGCAGGAGTAGGAAGAAGAGGACACTCACTGGACTCAGTACTGCAGCCTCCCTAAGGTACTGGCCTAGGACCCGGTGCAGGTCTGGCAGTGAGGGCCACAGGGCATGCCTCAGGCTCCTGGGGAGAAGGAAGAGGAGACCGAGTCAGGAGAGTGAGCTGGGAGGCCTCAGGAGGGCACCTGGGAGGTAGAAGCAGTTAGGTGGGCAGGTGAGGTCGAAGCACATGGAAGGCACTGACTGAGGTCGAGAAGCAGGAGATGACAAGAAAGCCTAGGGTGGGAATGGGAAGCCGTGGTGGGAGGCTCATAAATGGTGCTGTGGGGTTTCCTCAAAGTTCATGCATCGGAGCCTTTGCACTTTTTGTTCCTTCAGCCTGGCTCTGTTAGTTCCTTCACTCAGGCCTCTGCTCAAAGGTCATGCTGACAGTTCTCCCCAGGCTGTTGTTGTTAGGCGCCGTTGAGTCGGGGTTCCGACTCATAGTGACCCCACCTGATCCCACACCATCCTCACAACTGTTCTTGTCTGAGCCCATAGTGGCAGCCATCTGGTGTCAGTCCATCTGGTCAAGGGCTTACCTCTTTTTCGCTTCCCCTCCGCTTTACCAAGCATGATGTCCATTTCCAGGGACGGCTCTCTCCTGACAATATGTCCAGTGTACATGAGAGGAAGTCTCACCATCCTCGCTGAGGAGCCTTCTGGCTGCACTTCTTCCGAGCCTGATGTGTTTGTTCTTTTGTCAGTCTATGGTACTTTCCATGCTTTTTGCCAGCAACAAGTTCTGGCTACTCGGTCTCCAGTAGTACCACTTCCGGTATCCATAATTCTCTCTCTCGACCCTGACTTATTTTTCTTTAGAGCATCTGACTTACTGTATAGTATATGTATTGTTATGTGTATTTGTTTTTGTCTGTTTTACACTTCAGAGCAAAGATTTGGTTCATTTGCTCTCTGCTGTAAAGCCAGCGTGTAGAACTATATCTGGCCCACAATAGGTATTCACGTTGAACAATAAGTTGAATGAATGAATGGAACCAGAGAGGCTGGTTATCAAGTGCTGGTGAGGGTGGTCTATCAGAAGAGTATAGATTCAGGAAAGTTTCATCTTCTTACCATTATAGTTCCATATGGAAGGGCTTTGGTTGAAAATTTCAGGCCTCTTTTGTGGCTTTGCTCATACCTTTTCAAAGTTAGGAAGAAAGATTTATCTGATGTTTAAACTGGGGAGAAGGACTCTCTATCCCATTTTGTCCCCCAATTTTTGTTGTTGGATTTTGTCTACTGGCATAAAGACTTCCTTCTAATGGTCTCACAGGTGTGTGATAAAAAATTCAAAGGGAGACCAGGAGAAGGGGCACCTCATCTAGCCAAGGGTTACCATGAGAGACTGCTTGGAGGGGTTGCCTTCGGGGCTGAATGTTGACCAATCAGCTAGCAGTGGAAGGACTGGCGTGGGATGGAGCTGTCCTTCATGTTTGTAACCTCCAGTGGCATTTCTCCTTAGTCTTCCCACATAAAAGAGTCATTCGTTAATAACATTCATTCAGAGGTCTGTTACTTGGCAAGCCGGAGGCTAAAGATTGAAAGATGACCAAGTGAGGTGTAGCAGGGAAGACATAATGCAGTAAGTACAGGGAAATGCTCATGGGGCTAGGATGGAGGTCGATGGTAGGGCACAAAGAGAGCGCTTCATGGGAAGGGTCATGCGAGGCTTCTTGAGAATTGGTAAAGACAGTCCAGCGAGGGGATCCAGGGCACATTCTGTGGGAAACCACCTTGTTTGTGGAGGACATCGCCAATGGCGTGTTAGGGCTAGTGTACCGGAAGGGAGGGATGGAGATGCTGGCAAGGGCCAGACTTGGCCGAGACTCACTTGTGTCATTTTACAAAGTCCGGACTCTATCCTGGGGAGCTGAGGGGTTTAAGCAGAGGAGTGACAGGTGTAGGTGTGCATTAAAAATAAATAATAAATAATCCGGTGGTGGTGTGAGACTGGATTGGAGAGAGATGAGGGCTGAGAGCTAAACAGAAAGGCTGCCTATCAATGAGAAATGAAGATCTGAGCAAAGCTAGTGACCATTGTCTGAGGAGGCTGATCACCAGACCTGAGGGCTAAGTGGATATGAACTTGAGTGTTCCGCGGGGATGAAGGGTAGACAGTGGTCCTGTTCCTGAGATGAGGGGCCAGGAGGAGAGTTGGCACCGAAGGAGCCAGCGTGGCAGGCAGGAAGCACCTGACCCTGGGGTGCTTGTGTAGAGAGGTGTGTGGTCCTGTCTAAACCACAGCCCCAGCTCCCACCTGGTCAGGGGCAGTACCTGTAGTGCGCAGGGAACTGCCACCTCAGCAGGAGCAGGCCTAGAAGGGCGCTGAGGCCCAGCACCAGGAGCAGAGCTGTCACCAAGGAGATCCAGGCTGAGGCAGAAGAAAAAACAAACAAAAAACCACACCTGTGTCACCTTGGTGGCCCTGGCCTGAGCCCTGCCCCTGACTCTGCCCCTGGTCGATCCAGGGCATCTGGGGACAGCTGCGTTGTAGCCTCTGCAGCTCCAGGTCCTTGCTGCTTGAGTGAGTTGGAACCCCTTCAACTCGCTCAACCGCAGACGGGCTTTGCTCCCAGTCCTCACCCATCTCGGAGGCTGTCTCCACCCGCACGGGCTCTGACCAGGCACTCCAAGGACCTTGGTAGGTGGGGCCGTTGAGCCGGGCACGCAATTGTAACCGGTAGCGAGATCGCGGGCGTAGCTCCAAAGTTGATCCCTGGGCCCCCAGAGAGGATTCCAGTACCTGAGCAAGGGCGAAAAGCATGCAGTGCTCAGGCTCTGGGTGCTGTTGGGGGGCCGTGGGGCTTCGACAACTGGGCCCACGTTTGACAAAAATCTTAACCCTGAGAACCTCCGGGATATTGGGCATAATCTACAAAGAGAAGTTGTCAAGGGATTTATTTTACTCGGGCCCACAAACCACACCCGTGGAAAGAAGCCACAGTCAAGAGATCAACAAGAGCATTGGACAAATCCCTCACAAGACCTCTTTAAGGTGTTAAAAGGCAAAGATGTCATCTAACGCATATTGAATATATCCTAGACTGTCAGAAGGAAGAACAACTCTGTCATGGAAGAAGTACAGCCAGAATTTCCCCCTCGACTCGGAGATGGCCAGATTTCTTTGACATGTTATCAGGAGGGACCAGTCCTCACAAAAAGACTTCATGCCTGGTAGAGGGCAGCACAAATGTAAAGACTGCCAGAAAAAGAGGAGCTGATACCAAGGGCTCAACTAGAAAGAAAATCTTTTGAAAATGATGATGGCAGAATATGTAGCAATATGCTTGATACAACTGATGTATGGATTGTTAGAAGAGCTGTAAGTCGAGGAGAATCAAGGGAAATAGAGGAAAGAGCTGGGAGGCAAAGGGCATTTATAGAG